TGACATATTGTTCAATTTCTAATTAATTTAGTTCCATTTGTTACCGTTCGATTACATTAAACCAAATACTCCGTATTTTACAAAATTAATTCTTAATAATACAGGGTAGGGTAACTTTAATTTTTAATCGAAGTACTGTATTATTGGTGGGTGGTATTTTTGGATCAGTACGGACTAGGGAGTATAAATATCTATCCATCTATCAGTGCAAGTGTGAGTCATCTATCATTTGATTAGCCTTGACACAGCATTAAAATACAGAGCAGAGCGGCAAACATTAAATAACGTGTCTTTTTAGATAGAGTGCGCAGCCTAGCTAGGCTGGCTGACCTTTACACACTGTTCCATCTCTCAATATCTCCCATCCAAACACGCCCTTCTCCATCGCCCGGTCACCATCTTCCTCTGCTCCTCATAAACCAGAGCAAATCCAAACCAGAGAGCTGTAAATCTGTAACAGATAAATACTCCGTAAATAAACAAAAGACAATGACGAATACGGCTTTGGGCAGAAACCTTAGCCTCTGTTTCTCCAAGTCAAAATCTCCGGCCAAATCTCTGTTCCCGGAAGCTTCCGATCACCGCCGGCCGTTCTTCATCAAAAACTTCAACTCCCTCTACGACTTCACCATGGAATGCTCTCCCAACCCAAACTCCTTACCCGCTCGCTCTTCTTCGACCACCGACGACGACGGCGAACCCGACTTCTTATCCGACGACGCCGCCCCTGACCTGGCCGCCGTCCAGGCATCCCGGCGCTTCTTCTTCTCATCTCCCGGCAGGTCGAACTCCATCGTTGACTCCTCCTCGACGTCGTCTTCAAGAGCCTCGACCTCCTTCTCCTCCCCGACGGAGCCCGACGCGCTGGTCGGCGGAAGCGTCGCCGTGTCGACGATATCTCCGGACCCGTTCTTGGATTTCCGGCGGTCGATGCAGGAGATGGTGGAGGCCCGGAAATTGATGGATGTGAGAGCGAATTGGGACCACTTGCACGAGCTGCTCATGTGCTACCTGACGCTGAACCCGAAAAGCGCCCACAAATTCATTGTGGGGGCGTTTGCCGACCTCCTTGTCAGCCTTATGCCTCCACCGGCGGCGGCTCCGGCTGAATTTCGCCGGAAACCCCGAGTCCTATAACCGCAGTTATAAAAGTAAAGTCTTCCAAGAGTACGTGTAATTAGGTGTACTTTTGCCTTTAATTATTCATCACATTGTATACGGAGGAAGTATCATCTCTTTACTAAAACTGCGTTATTTTGTCATTTACAGCAAGTCAACTTGGCGATTGATCAATTAATTACTTTATTATTGTTGTCTATCTAAATCTAAATCTAAAAACATTATAATTGTGAATAGAGATTAATATCCCTGATTTATGTCGATGCTTTTTATGCATATAAGCTTGTACATTCTTATTAAAATGTAGTACTAATTTTTCCTAAAGACTATAATAACCTTACACAGTTAAAAATATTAACTTTGCTAAGTTGGTGACTTTATAACTGCTTCCATGAGTTCTGAATATAAACAGTGATTGATGAATACATTAAGTTCAAATATTAAATGGAACTATAGAGTAATAGCTAGCTAACTATCAAACTCAGTTTAGAAAATGATAAATTGGTAATGGCTCAGAGTCAAAGAGTTCATATTTAATTAATAATTTGAGTAGAATAAGTAGTGTCTCACTAAAAAATACACATTACATTGATCTTTTTTATAATGTTTCTGTCTCCTATTTTCATTTAAATTTGGCAGAAATTGTGAAAACACCGAACTTGGTTGAAATGACTGATTTTGCTAAAATTTATAAAGTTCTAGCGAAAGTAGTTTGGATGATTCTAGTGACTTATTTAAAAAATATACTACCTCCGTCCCGTAAAGAAGTTCTCACTTTTCTTTTATGGATGTCCCAAAAATGAGTTCCCATTTCTATAAAAGGAAACCACTTTTATCTTCACAACCACCCTTACTTTTTATCCACTTTTTGTTTGATTTGACATAAAGTAAGGGTAAACTTGCAAAGTCAAAACAAAACTCTACCTTACATAAGTATGTGTCTAGGTCAAACCGGGAACTTCATTGCGGGACGGAGGGAAGTATCTAGAAATATTTCATTAATGAAATAAAGAAAATTTTATTTCAAAAAATAATTAAAAAAGATCATCTACATTAACTTCGGCCAATTCGGCCATAAAAGTAACTTCTACCTTACTTATTTTGATTACGACACAATGCATTGTGTTATCAAAAGTTACGTATTTATTGAAAAGTTGATTCATAAGGCTCATAAGACGAAACACATGATCTCTTACACACGGATCTCATTTTTATCTCACAATTTTTATGTGTAAGACCCACATATTTCCTAACTATTATTCATTTTCATTTTTATATCACTTTATTTTAACTCTCTTTCCATCTACTTTTCCTTCTTGAATCTCGTGTAAGGTTTATTAGTCGACCTTGTCATATACTTTTAGGTCTACACTCTACACTTTATCTTCATATCTTTCCTCTTTTTCATATTTCCCCACACACTTTATTTATATTAAATTAAAATGTTCATTTTATCTCTATATGTCTTGTATGTCACATCACTAATTCACCCCCATTCGAGAAGCCCTTATGGATGTGTAAGTAGTTCTATTTAATTCAAGGTTCAAAAGGCAATCAACTCATATATTGTGCTCAAGCTTTAAAAACCTATTGTCATTTACAACTATTTCGCACTCTCTCATTTTTGTTTAAAGTAACAAATTAGTGACTAAAGTTATTTATCTTTTTACTGTACAAATTTCAATCAACTTATTACCTTATTATTTTACGTGAAAGTCAAACTTAACTAAGTTCTAGAAATGAAATTAAAGGATATATTATGTTAAAACAAAAATAAAATGAATCGCATAACCACACACTTTAAAATCATATAGACATATTTTTCAGACAATAATTGGTTGACATGGAATATAACCAATCTGACAAAAATCTTATTTTCATTATCTATTTACAAAAATCTCATAATAATTTTGCATATAACAATTCTTTATAGAATAGAACATTATTTTAATATTGGGCAAAACACTCTCGTGCCTTGCACGAGTAAACGCTAGTTGTTGTAATATGTACTGTTATTACATAAACTTTGTCTTGAATACATACAAGGCCGGTCCTAGGGGTGCAACAGGGGCGACCGCCCTATGCCCAAAAAATAGGATGGAAAAATAAACCCAAAAAATTGTCTTCATATATAGCGGGAGTAGACTCCTTTTTTGTATTTAAGCTCAAGTAATTAGGTCCAAGGTTTAATTTTGTTGAAAAATTAAAAATTTTAAAACAAATGTTAAAAGGCATGTGGCACGCCTTTTTGAGTAGTTAAAGTCTCTTCACATCTCTACGTTTTATAATTCTTTTAATTACAAAATTACCACTATATTTATTGTCTTTAACTCTTTGTATAGCCCGTGTGTCTCCCAAACTCCCAATGCATAAACCACCCCATCCCACTAACCTAATTACTTCTTTGGACGGTGGTTTCTAAGTTCCAATTACACTCAATTATCTAAGGAAGTAAAGGACTAAGGTTTAATAAGGTCTTGACCGTCTCGCACAAGAGTAGACATTAGAGAGCGTCGCAAGCCTGCAAATCGCCATTAGCCAAAGCGGTCAGCGGTGAGGAGCCCAAAAAGCGCCCGGCGACTAGAACACCTTCTTCTATCAAGGCTTCAAATAATCCGACAACGGCTAGTAAATTATTCTCAATCTATTAGCCGTGAAAAATAAATGCACCAAATGTTCTTTTAATTTATGAATTATGCATGATTAATGATTTATATGATGCATTTTTTAGTGTCTTCGTAAATTCATATTTGTGTGGTATTGTGCAATTTTGAAATTGAAGTCCTTTACTTCGTTTTACTATTGTGAAGGTAGTTGATAAAATGGATGTATCTGGTTAGGAAAAAGAGAAAAAGACACCCCAAAAAGACAAGTAAGAAGGGGGCAATAGAAAATTTTGTTTTTGTTAAGAAACTGAACCCCAAAAATTCTTCTCAAGTTCAATCGCCGCTAAATTCTTTTGCGAATGAAAATCATAACATGCTTGGAAATAATGATATAGGTGTAGAAGCCGCAAACATTGAAATTGAGTCAGATAAATGTGATTTAGGTGAAGAGAATAAACCAGTGGTGGATCTTGTTTCGTTGATCGATATTTAGAGATTACTTTTTGTCTTGAATAGGCCCAAGATAATATCTCGCCCATAGGCCCCAAAATTGACGGGACGGGCCCTGAGTACATATTGCATTAGTTTATTACTAGTGGCAATATTTCATGATTCTCAATCTTTTCTCCGGCAGCTTTAATCAGTATGATACTATGATCATTGTCGCATTATTAACTGGAGTATTAAAGATTATATTGTCGAACTTTAAAAAAAAAGATTATATTGTCGAGTTATGATAAAAAAAAGATTATATTGTCAAGTTTTTTTTTTTCCAGTGTAAAGTTTTAATATTTTTTAGTTTTATATAGTCAAATTTAAGTATATATCTGCAAATATATACTAGGCAGAATGGGGGAATTATTGTTTTTCAGCCCAGGCCATACAGAAATCGTTGGCATTCAACTATAAAAATATTCGTTGGAGTAATAAACTGATTGATAATGCAGCAGGTGAGGTTGAGGTTGGGCGTTACACTAAAAAAGGGTTTCTCCATCTCTCTTCGTGAAAGAGATTATAAAACTTAGATCTGGGATTTTGGAACCGGGAACCGAAAAAATGTTTGGAACCGAACCGATATGAAACGGTTCGGTTCCTGTTTTTGGGAGTTAAATACTTACCGGTTCGATTCCTAATGTAAACTACCGGTTCGGTTCTCGGTTTTACAAAAAAAAAAATATTCAAGAAACCGATATAGAACCGTTAGTTCATTCTTAGTGGGTTATTCTATTCCGTAGTCCAAATCAGAAATAAAAAATATACGCAGTACAACTCGCAGCCCATTCGCAGCCCACAACTCCTTTAGTCCGCTTCAGACTTCATCGAGTGCAACAAGGATTTGCCGATTAGGAGGAAACCCCTAGCCACACCGCTCATCTTCTACTATGCTCTTCCATTCACTCTGTCAAAGATTTCACGGATTCATCAAAGGAGTCAAGGAGAGGTCATAGACAGTAGGTACTTTTTTCTTGCTCTTGGTATGTATTTAATTTAAACTTTCGAACCTCCTAGCAAAACCAACGAAGCTTCTGAAGTTTTGAGAATCCGTTTGTGAAGCAAGACTGCCAGTGTGAGTCGTGTGACAGAGTTTTGCAATCTCCTTTCTAGAATATGGAACATCAAAATTAAAATTGAAGCTTTTAATTTGTTTCGAAAATTGAAGTTTCTGACTTCTGTTTTGGAGGAGTTTAATCTCTTCCTCCATTTTGTTTGTAAATTGGGTTTCCACTACATTTATCATCTTTTTCACACATCCTAATCTTTCTGGTGATTCTTTTAATCCTTTCTTGTATTTAGTTTCCACTGTTCCATTTTAATTTCTGTATGCATATATACATAAACAATATGAAAAATAAGCTAATTGCATCCATTCTTTGAATAGTATTAGGACTAGATTTGATAATGACAACTAAAGCATACCAAATGTTTGAAAAATATGTCTATAACATACGTATTACCCCATTTTTCATTCTAAAAAACTGTGTTTTTTTCAGCTATTAATATGCAACTTCGATTCGTCAAGACCAGATTGCAACATCATATGTCATAAATATGATGTTAATTTTGAAGTTATGGACTGAATTAATGTACTTCTTTTCTGTAAGGATAATTGTACTTTTTTTAAGCTCCAGTTTAGTACTTTTTGAACCATTTAACTTTCATGTTTCAATCAATCCTAACTTTTAACAATCCTGAACTTGTAATTATAAATTTGGGGGTTATTTGAAATGGGGTTATAGTTAGATTGATTGCAGCTTTGTGGAGTATTTTAACTTTTTTTGTGGCGGAAATTGGTGCATTAAAGTTTTTTAAGAACCGAAAAATGTCAAGAACCGAACCGTTAACACTTGGTTCGGTTCCATAATGGTTCTAGAATTTTTTGTTGGGAACCGAACCGATATAAAAAATTGTGATTTTACAAACGGTTCCTCCAATTTTGAAGAGGAACCGAACCGGTCCCAAGCCTAATAAAACTCCCCATTTTAGCGTTTCACTTCTACAGTGTGATGTTTCATCAAAGATGAAGTTAGGTTATGTTAGAGCTCCGTTGGTAACTCACCTTGGTCCGAAAATATTAAATCATTTTTAAAACTTTGACCAATTTTATACGGAGTATTTTTATTGGAAATTATTCATAATACAAAAATACTGTAATATGAAAATATTCTTTGATCAAAGTAATTTAATAATAAAATAAAATATTTAACTTTCATAATATTATGCTAATCAAAATCATATCCAATTTTTAAAAGATAACTAAGTATTTTTGGACGGAGGTTGTGTATGTTTTGAGCTTATCAGACTTATTAATCAATACTAGCGTTTGTTCGCGCAAGGCGCGAGAATATTTGCCCAATGTTAAAGTCATACTCTTTTTATGAGAGATTATTATATATGAGATTGCTATGAGGATTTTTAAATAATGTATATAATTATCCTAAACTTTTGATTAATTGTTTCATCAATAATATGCTCAACTCACCAACTACTGCGTGAAAATTCTGCCTATATTTTTTAAAGCTATGTTATTTTATTGAATTGGCCAAATATTTTGGTTTAATTATGAAATAATTGTAGTGATAACAGGATTTTATAATGAATTGTGTCAATCGTGTTATTGAACACACTAAATTATGTGAATATTGGGCTATTATATGTAAGTGTAGAAATATAAAAAAAATCAAATTATCGGTGCTCAACAAGCAAGGAGATATCTAGTATGGGTGCGATTAAGATGTACTCCATGTTTTATATTTGGGGAAAGGAATTTAAATATCCTAAATTTTGAATATGTGTGAGATGAGTACCCCAAACTTGCACATGTAATATATATACCCCAAACTTTATATAAAAAGTTATGTTAGCATCATGAGTATATATCTTATCACAGATGTAATTTTATGGTGTTAATTACATAATTTAAAATACACAAAACATTTATGAGAATGCAGTTAAAATTAAATTGTAATGGATGTAATATTATTTAGGGAAAAAAGTATGGAAAAAGTATTTGTCGTTGGGCCCGTTTTCAGATAAGATCATGTGTTTCATTTTTATCAAAGTGATTCGTTTTTTTAAAAGGCCCAAATTTAAATGCTACACAAGATCCGAAAATCTTAAATATTGTACACATGATCAAAATTGATTCGAAAGCAAAGTGATGCATCGATGAGGTCTGATTATTACTTTTTAGTAATGTCCTACATATGTAATTCACAAGCCAAGCTCATACGAAGTACTCCATATCACTAACTCGATCATCAAGTACTCCATATTATTTAACAACTAACGGAGTTAAGGGTAAAATAGCCACTTAAAAAGTGATGTTTCATTTTCTAAAAGTAATGTACAACTCTCCAAGCTCAAAGTGTGTTGACATAAATTAAGGGTACTAACACCTATTCCCAATTATAATGTTTTTAGATTTATATCAAACATGTAACACTCGGTTTTGCGTATTGAATTTTGTAATAATTAAAATAATTAAAGTTGAAATTTCTTTTGTGATTGAATTGATTGAAGTTACGGTTAAATATCAATTTTTTCATAGTACTAGTATATTTTTTATTTCATTGACAAAATACATTTTGAATATAACTTCTGAATTATTTGGTGTATTCTGTCAATTCAACCTAGGCGTACACTTGGTTCGATCTGGTCCTGGTTTTGGGTCGAGACCGGTCAGTCCTTTCCAAAAAGAGGAAGGCCCACTAATAAGCAGTCACATACCATGTTGGGTAATATTGAATTTAGAATGAGGTGACATTGTTGTTAGAGAAAGTGAGTTTATATAGTTAATATAGAACTAAACATTTACCAAATTTTTGTATAAGACCATTTTAATGAGACGAATGGAAAATGAAGGATAAGATAATCTAAACAGATACGAAGGTAATAATTATTATTATTAAGAAGATATACCAAAAAGGTCTTTGGCCAAGCAAAGCGCTAGTTTCATGCATGTGTACTAATCTATGGATCAGATGTTCTAAAATGACCTTCAAGGCTTCAACTTTTGATCTATCTTTAGCTTTTATCCATTTTCTTTCGTGATTCTACGGGGGCGTCCTGTCTATTTTCGGGCCTATGGGCGGGATAATATATGGAGCTTATATTCAAGACAAATGATAAATTATATTTATTTAAAATAATAATTATAATTAAATTATCTAATAAAGATCATCAAATAAAAATGAAACTCATTTTATTATTATTATTATTATTATTTTAAATTATATATTTGGTGTAAAGTAACAACACAAGTATCACATAAAAAAACAAACAGTATTTTCTCTCGGAATTTTCAAGATTCAATTCTTAATAGAAACAAAATTTTCTATTGATCCTGCTAACTTAACCCTGTCTTTTCTAATCTTCTTCTCTTTCTCTATTTATCCCGACCTGATTCACCAATTTTATCAAGAGTAATTTATTGATCACGGATGGATTGTATAAAGCCTTGAAAGAAGAGGTTTTTTTGTCACCGGCCGCCGTTTGGGCTCCTCGATTGATAGGCTTCAATACTTAACAAATCATTGAGGCGCTCACCACTTTGCAGCGTTTTTTACTTTGTTGATATTGAAATTTGGAAACAAATCAAATTTGGATGGGCTTTGCGAATTGGGAGTTCTGGACATTAGAGGCCTAAAATAACTTGATAATTTTGTAATTAAAAGGATTATAAAATTTAGAGATCCTAAGAGAATTAAGAGAGACGTGACACTACATACAACGGAACATTTTGGGCCTATTTATTCCCCTATTTTCTTGGGCTTAGGGCGGTCTCCCCTGTTGCACCCCTAGGGCCGCCCCTGGATTCTTCATTTTAAAATCTTAATCAAATTTAAGCAACTTTACATTACTTGATCAATTTTCTCTAACATGAAAGATTAGAGCTCGTTTGATAGCACTGTTTTTTAATTTATCAGTCAACTTTTTTACCAATCACATAATTTTTTATTTCATACGTCGTATTGTGTAATAATAATAATAACAACAAAAAAAGTAAGGTTAGAGTTATTTTTCTGGTTGTATCGGCTAAAATAATTGCAGAGGACCATTTTATCTATTTTTACATATAATTTTTCTTTATTTTATTAACAAAACATTTTTAAATTTATTTTTTCATAAATCAGCAGAATCAGCCAATTCAGCTAGAATTTCATAAATTTTAGCAGAATCTGTCGATTCAGCGCGTCGACTTTAGGATTACTAAACAGGCTCTAAAACTACTATATTTCATATTTTGTTTCTTGTATGATTTATAAATAAAGTTTTGGAATAACATTTCTGCACTTAATATAAACTGGTTTTTAGATATAACTTTGCGTTCAAAATTTAAATAAAATACTAAATACATACACTATTCGCCACTTATTCAATTAAAACTTTGTGAGTACGAGTAATTTATTTCTTAAATTTGTCAAGTATGATTTCAAATTCTTTTGCCGAACGCATACTTTTTATTTACAGCTAACTTTACAAAAATTACAATGTTTGAGTGTAGATTCGCCCCAATTCACAATAATTCCTAGATACACCACTCACATTAAGCAGGCAGACATTTTCAACAATAATTTTGACAATGTTTAGATTTGACTCCTCCTATATACAATTAGAAATATATCAAAAAAATTGGATTAAAGGGAGTTTATACGTGACTTATAAGTTATTAGATAAATAAAGAGCATAATAATATAGTAATTGTAGGAGCAAATGACTAAGGCGGACGTTTGAACCTGCTTCTTAAAACTGTTTTACTCTTTTAGGGAGCACAAATAGATATTGAAGTGTTTGACTGAAAGTGCAGAAGTACTTCTGAGTACTTCAAATTACTCCAAGAATTGGTTTTTTACAAGTTGTGGGAGACCGGCTTCCGAAATACTGATTTTGATTCTGCTTTTAAAACACCCTCAATTCCTCAAATTAGTTTCAAATACCCTCAAATTAATGTTGTTAGAATCGTAGAAGGAATTAGTGCTGGGCTCGAGTCCATCACATATACTCCGTAGATTCTTACCCTATTACTTGGCCCAATATTAATGTGACCACTCCCGCCGTCTGTATATTCAACCCTCGCCTTCCCTTCTTTCTCCGACAGTCCGACACGGCCAACTTGGGACTTGCTCGGCATCAATCAGCACTCACTATCCCCGCCTCCGTTCGACGCCAGATTCGTCTCACACTATTTTCATCTCCGACCAGATTTCGCAATCGAAGAGGTAATTTTGTTTTTCTTTATTGTGTGTGTAATATATAAAAAGATAAGGGATTTAGCTTCCATGTTTTTCTGATCAAATATAGCATTTTAGATTTTTTTGTTTACTTTCAAAAACTTGAACTGTTATTCATAAATTTCATATAACTATTTGTTGAACTATTTGAGCTCTGAGCTTCACTATTTGTGTGTACACATATAATTGTATATAAATGAAAATGTATTTATGTTTCAATATATCTTAAAGATATTCTTGCTTTACGTCCTTTGATACTCAATGAGAAAGATAAAACTACTTAGAAGAGCCTGAGAGAGGCAGAACTAGAAAAAATAAGGTACTTCGGTAGTACTCCTTATTAATTTGGCAAATTTTTCTACTTCTTATGTGGATAATATTGTGTTTCAGCATTTTTAATTATTGTGATAGGATATAATAGACTTTGGTTGTGTGAGATCAGGATAGATCCATGATTTTTGGCTAATAGGACGATTTTTTTCCGGCACTTCCTGTTTTTATTGTAAAATATTTTCATTTTCATTAGCACATACACAACATTTAAATTTACCACACTCTAAATTTACATAATGAGAAAAGTAACTTAGATTATATAATTGAAGTGCTCTAGTAAAAGCCTAAAAGGTATTGGTAAAGTATAGCCTAAGCCCTAAGGAGTTGAACAATAAGGATGTTTTTACTTGGACTGTAATTTGCTGGTCTGGTCTGGTAAGGTCTGGTTTCTTTGTATTTTTATAACTATCCAAGTCTGGTCTGAACTGGTCTGGTCTGGTCTGGGGCAAATTACAGTCCGAGTAAAAACATCCTAAAAGAAAATTATTTGATAATAAAATGGTTAAATTTTTGCCAATTCATTTGAAGGTAAAGAGTCTAAAAGGTATACATGCACCTATGTTTTTTAAATGAATTTTGCCTTGTTTAACTGTATGAATCTTATAAGAGTAAGGAATCCAATTTTTTATTTACACTTCTTGTCTACCATGTCTGTTTGTATGCCACCATTGCCATAGAGAGTCTTTTTAATATAACAATAATATAGTATAAAGATAAACTAAACATGACAAAAATATGATTCTTTTCGTATAGAATAAGTATCGGAAGTCTTAAATCAATGAGTTCTATTATTCATTTGTCCAAGTCAAGGTAAACTGCTTGAGATTTTTTTTCCCTCCTTTTACATTTCCCATTAAGCTGATATTACATTATGTAACACTCTAAAATAGTTTTGTAAACTAAAAGTTAAGGGTGGCAAACACATATATATCTAAGGTGGGCGGTCTCCACTGTGCCCCCCCATAAAATCCGTCCCTGGTAAGATCTAACTGAATGGGCTTTTTTGTTTTTCATTTTTAATGGATATTTATTGAAATATTTTCTCCATCATAATATACATGTATATACATTCTTTTTCTGTTATATATTAATCCTTTACTGGAACACTAGCAAATATCTTTTGCTTTTATATATTACTCTGTCATAGATTAGATATCTGCTGATGTTAATGATCATTCTTAGTTCAATTTGTTGAGTGAAGGCAGTAACTCATTTCACCTATAGATTCAAAAGTTTAAGCTTCATTGTTCCGGGAACCACAATTGGTATTGCTTTAGTAGATTTTTGCTATAGATTATTTATTGTCTTCACAGATCCGTGATCTGTCAGATACATTTTATTGAAAGCAACAAAAGACCAGTTACTAAAGCAAATTATAGTCTTTTGGTGGAATATTAGCAAAGGAAACTGCATCACCATCATATACTTTGTGTGTGTATGTGTAAATATATAGGTTATCATGTAAAATCTGTGTAATATTTTTGCAGGAATTTCATTTGTAGAAACTATGAATTTAATATCTCAAAACGTCGCTTCTAAAAACCGTTCTGACAAGAAGAAAAGGGTGGTAGTCGATGAGCATCCACTTCTCGATAGCAATGAACAAACTCAAGAGATGAAAAGCTCTGATGCAGCAGACTCAGGTCACCGCAAAAGGAAGAAGCATAGCAAGGGCTTAAAGTCAGAGGAGGTGGAGGAGATGAAGAGGCTTGAGGATGTCTTGTTTGGCTCCTTACACTCACCTCTTGAATATGGAAATGAAGAGGCCGACAAAGATTCTTCATTGTTTGTTGTGGACCGAATAGGCAGCAGTTCATTGACTCCTTATGAACATGATGAAACACAAATGATAGATGGAAGAAGTGATGAAGAGGAGGGGGAGGAGGAGACGAAGGAACGGAAACCAGTCTGGATAGACGAAGAAGAAGAGAAGACCAGCATAAACCTGGCCGGAGTAAACAGATTGAGGAAGCTAAGGAAGGAAGAAGATGAGACTGTAGTTTCTGGGTCCACATACGTGAGCCGATTGAGAGCACAACATGTTAAGCTGAACCCGGGGACAGAGTGGGCTCGACCTGATTTTCCGAGAGGAGGAAGCTCATTATCAGATGATGAAGATTCTGATCTAGAAAACGGCGATATCCTTCGTACCAACGAAGAACTTGTTGTGAAAAGCAACACAAAGCTGTTACCAGGAATTTTAGAACATTCTAGACTGGTTGATGCAAACAGAAAAGAGTATTCGAATGGTCCTATAAACTCCGTCCAGTTCCACAGGAACAGCCAGCTTCTTCTTGTTGGGGGATTGGACAAAAGGCTTCAATTCTTTCAAGTTGATGGGAAAGAGAACACCAAAATACAAAGCGTCTTCATTGAAGACTGTCCGATTAAAAAGGCAGCTTTTTCGCCTGACGGATCTCAAGTCATCATATCTGGTAGACGAAAGTTCTTCTACGCCCTTGACTTGGTCAAGACAACAGTGGATAAAATTGGACCTCTGGTTGGAAGAGAGGAAAAAAGCTTGGAAAGCTTCGAGGTATCTCCCAATTCTGACATGATCGCATTTCTAGGCAACGAAGGGTATATTTTGTTGGTGTCCCTCAAAACAAAGGAACTGGTTGGCACCCTAAAGATGAATGGGACAGTTCGGTCAATTGCTTTCACCAACGATGGCCAGCAATTATTGAGTTCTGGTGGCGACGGCGAAATTTACCATTGGGACTTGAGGAAAAGGGCTTGTTTTCACAAAGGTGTTGATGAAGGCTGCATTACTGGCACTTCTCTCTGTGCTTCACCAAACGGGGCTCTATTTGCAGCCGGTTCAGACAGTGGGATTGTGAATTTGTACAACAGGGTGGATTTCTTGGGAGGAAAAAGGAAACCCATGAAGAGAATTGAGAATCTCACTACCAAAGTTGATTATATGAAGTTCAATGGGGATTCTCAGATACTTGCTATATGTTCGAGCATGAAGAAGAACAGCTTGAAGTTGGTGCATCTTCCTTCATGCACAGTTTTCTCAAACTGGCCTCACCCAAACCAAGTGCTGCATTATCCAAGGTGTTTGGATTTCAGTCCTCACAGTGGATTTATGGCTTTGGGGAATGCCAAAGGAAAAGTTTTGCTATATAAGTTGCATCATTACCATCATGCATAAGTTTTGGCCTTAATTTCATACTGTTTTTGTAATCTTATATGTTGCCATGTGGTTGTTTAATTGTATGCAAAAGAAACACCACCCACCTCCATGATAATGTTGCGGACTTGTAGTGTCTTAATGCATGGCGGATTTTGATTATGGTTTTGGTATTGGTATTGTTTCTGGCCTATTGCAACTTAATTGAGATGCTACTTACCGCATTGGAGGATTTATTATATTATCCTTTATATTTATGAGATATTACCCAAAATGAGACTAAAAAAGTTTGAAAATTCCAAAATAGGACTTCCATGTTTTTATTCCCAAAATAGGACTAATTACAGCCATGTTTTGGCAGTACCAAACTTCAAACATGACAGTATTTTCCAAATTTGGCAGTAATTAGTCCTATTTTGGGAATAAAAACATGACAGTCCTATTTTGGAATTTTTGAACTTTTTTAGTCCCATTTCTGGAACTTTCCCTATATTTATTCGTCATGTGATAATTAAGGATTTCGTCTTTAATCAAATTGAACTCTTCATTTCACCAAATAATGTATCAAATTTGACACTTTAGGTTATTGAAGTTGTGCTGAAATGACACGTGAAAGAAATGTCAACTACTTCAACTACATTTTCATTAAGTTGGCCTCATTCAGTTGTGTACATCAACTGGTTGTAATGATGAAAATGCTTTGTTTCCATAACATGCGAACTAATACATCAGCGAAGGCTAATACGGAGTAGAGAATAACACTTCATATACAAATATGAAAAGTGAGTTGTTATATTTATTTAAGAACGGAGAGTATATAATTAAAAAGTCCCAATTCATTTACAGGAACTGGAAAGAAAAAAGATATTGGAATCTTGTACTCCGTATGATCGAAGAGATACTTCATGCCGCACGTCGGTGGGATCAAATATAGGACCCTACAAATTACAAAAAGATCTTTTCGGTGCTGTAATATTCATGTATACAGGTTTATTCTTGGTGCTGTAATATTCATGTATACAGGTTTATTCGTGCCTCCCATTTTTCTGGTACCATGTCAAATACGTAACTTTTGCTTTCACGCGCTTAATTGTGTAATAAGTAAAAAAATAAGGTTGAAGTTACTACTCTGGCGGTATTGGTTGAAGTTACTATAGATGATCATTTTAACTATTTTTACATATAATTTTTTCTTTATTTTATGGGAAAACTGTCAAATAAGTCCCCGTACTATGTTCAAAAAGTCAATTAGATCCTCCTCCTACTTTAAAATCAATCAATTGAATCCTCAAACTTTGAAAAAATAACCAATTGAGCATCTTAACCGGTACACAACCGGTCTTCCGGTTAATTGCATATTTGGCTGTCTACGTGGTGTTTTCTATTTCTATTTTTTTTACACCTCAGCTTACATCATCTTCCTCACGAACGGTGCTCTGTTCTCGTGAAACTGCTCTCCTCTTCTTCCAATTCTTCCTCTAAGTCCAGCCAAGATGATACGGAGCTATGCCAACATCCCAATATTAGTTGCACAGAGATGAATTTCATGGATTTTCAGCTCCACAGATCTTGAAAAGAAGATTACTTTGCCTTATTTTAATTTTCCTCTTTTCTCTTGCCCTAGCAATCAATTAAAATCACAATATTTTATTAGATTTTATATGTTTTAAGATACGTTTGTTTCCCAAATCCAACATAATATATGTATAAAATATCATTTCAATTAACAAATCAGTTTGCCTTCTTGTTCATTGAATTTCTCTGTGAAATCGAAGATGTTCTCTAACTCTCTTCCACTTAGATCTGGCCGAGATGGAGATGGCGTGACCGGTCCCAAAGAAACGACAGCTGCTAGAATTGAGGGAGATGCCGAGTGCTCTGATTGAGGAAGATGACAATGGCGTAACCAGTGTCAGTCCTTTAATTGAAGGAGATGGCCGCTGCTCTAATCAGAAAAGGTGGAGGGAGATACTATACGGCTGCTACCCTATTAGGGGAGATAGCAATGGGCGGTGGCATACCTGGCAGCTGGGACCTAGCTTTTGGAAAAAATTGACATGTTGGATAGCCACATAACCATGTGACCGGAGAAACTTATTGATTACTGCCTAAATGGTGAAATTGAAGGTATTTTCAAAGTTGGAGGATTCAATTGATTGGTTTTTAAGTAGGAGGACCTAATTGACCATTTGAACATAGTGTGAGGATCTATTTGATAGTTTTCCCTTATTTTATTAATAAAATATATTTTAAAAATAATTTTTTCTTAAATTAGCAGAATAAACCAATGTAGTCATTACAGCCAAAACTTCATAAATTTCAGCAGAATAAGCCAAATCAGCCGATTTTCGTGCTACCAAAACGGGCTCGTAATATTTAAGTATGATGTAAGCACTACCTTTTTTATATTCACAATTATCTAGGTTTATCGAGATCTGTTATGCTTTGTTTAAGAAAGTAGGGTTAATTATCAAAAGAGGACAAAGTCACTCAATTTGTACAAATAGGACCAAAAAATAAATTATGTTTTCATACTACTAATTATGTGTGTCTTGGACAAATATACCCTTATACCTATTGGAATGTTTAAATTCATAATAAAATTATAAAAAATAATAATAATATGTAAAATATACCAAAAAATTAATAAAAATATTTTAAATAATCATAAATTAAAATAAAAAAATTAAAAAAAATTAAAAATGCATAAAAAATTATCGCCGCCGCCTCTGCCGCCCTAGCACCACCACCTCCGATCATCTGGGAAAAAAATGCCAAATTTATTATGAATGCCATATTTTTGGCAGAAGTCAGAATAATTTAAGTTGGCAGAATAAAAATGTTGGCATTCCTAAAGAGAAATATGCCATTTTTTGGCATTTTCAGAAGAAAAAAATTGCAGTTTTTAGTAAATATGACATTTTTTTAACGGTCGGAGGTGGTGGTGTAGGGAAGCAGTACCACCACCTCCTATCACCGCGGAAAAAAATGCCAAATTTATTAAGAATGCCATATTTTTGGCAGAAGTCAAAAGGATTCAAGTTGGCAGAATGAGAATGTTGGCATTCTCAAAGAGTAATAAGCCATTTTTTTGGAATTTAAAAAAATGGCATTTTTTACACCGATCGGAGGTGGTGGTGCGGGGAGGTAGTACAGGCGGTGGGAAAGGCATCCATATATTTTTTAAATTTTTTATGGAGTTTTACTATTTTTTATTATTTTTCTACGAAATTTTGATTTTTTTTCGAATTTATTATGAATTACACATTTAATTATGACTTTTGACAATCTATTACTCATATTCAAAAGAGGGGTTAGAATGGAATGAAGAAATATGTATGTTTCCAATAGGACCACTATGGTCCTATTTTGGAATAAAAAACATAGCAAGTCTTATTTTTAGTTTTTGCCATAATTTTAGTCCTATTTGAAATAATCTCTAAAGAAAGTAATGTTCAAGTTTGATGTATGCATTAATATGATTTTGAATTAAAATTATTCCAAGTAAAAACATTCTTTTTTTATTTCTTTTTTTATTCATTCTTATGAAAGTGAATGTAGTCAATAAAATTTCATTTATTACTACTAGAATTTTAACCGCATTTTGTAATCATTTTCTAAATAAACGCGTCAAAAATAATTAAATGTATATTTTCGGATGAAAGGAGTAATATATTGTGCAGAATTTATGTATATTTTTATATTTCGAGGAAGAGTACACAAAAATCTGATGCTTTAAAGAGGAACACCAGTACCATCATGGCATTATCATGTTAATTAATAATGAAAAATGTTGGTGAAATAAAGTGCGATAAGATCAATTCCAAAAAAATGATTCATACTCGTGACCTACTGTATCTGATCTATTAAATTCTCATTTATGTTCGTTTTCATTTTTCAGCTGCTGGATTAACAATAAAGTATTGGTATGAATTCCATTATTGTTGCAGAGAGAAAGAAGAAGTTTTTGTTAAAGCCTATAGTGACATTGCTGCAGAAGGAAAGCTTAAAAATAGAGATGTCAAAAAACCCGACCCGCAATGACCCGCCCTGGCCCGAGACATTTGGGGCGGGTCCGCCCCGCCCCGCCTTGCAAATGGGGCGGGTCCGCCCTGCCCCGCCTATACAATGAGGCGGGTCCGGGTATTAGAATTGACCCGTGCCGCCCCGACCCGCTCAATATATAAGTATACATATTTTTTTCTTAAATTATACTACAAATATACTTCAACATACATATGTGTGTATACAATAAATCATAAATTCTTTGATCTTATAATATATGAATATATATTAGAATGAGATGCACGAGGATTATCAATGTCTTCTTTATATATAAAACTTTAATACATATATTCAAGTATTAATATAACTAATTAGATTAACTATTCAAGTTTGAGTAATTTTTACTTAATTTTTGAAATTTTTAGCGTATCATGAATTTGATTTAATATATTGATTTCTAATTGTTATTTAGAGATAAACATTATGTAGATTCAATTGGTAACAACTTCCACAAATAAAAATACATACTAGCGAATTAGGTTGCGGTAGGGCGGACCCGCCCCGCCCCGCCCCGCATGGGACGGGGTATGGGTCAACAAGTTTGGACCCGTGTAGGTCGCGGGGCGGACCCGCCCCGCCAAGTCACGGGGCGCGTCCGGGTCTTGCAATACCCGCCCCGCCCCGACCCATTGCCATGCCTACTTAAAAATGGTCATACATAATGTTTTTACTTGGATTGAAATTTTCTGATCTGATTTGATCTCATTTGGTCTAGTAAATGTTTAGTCTATTTGTATTTTACAACTATCGAAATCTGATTTGGTCTGATTTTATTTGGTCTGGGATTGAAATAAATATAAGTAAAAACATCTATCAAAACGCTATTTTAGTACTTTAATGATGGATGATTCCACTTAATACTCTGTTTTTATGATTTTATAATATTATATAATATCAAAAAGTCGTGTGATAAAACTCTTGGGAATAGCTTTTCCATTTTTGGCTTTTGCTAATCAACATACATATCGAAAAACGATTTACCAAACACTTAAAATAGTTGTTTGATATACTCGTAGTTAAAAAAGTCAAGTCATTCGAAGACAAAAAATGGTTGATAGCTTTTTACACTTCACGATGATTTATTATTGGAAAATTCTTGTTATATACACTTTTATACACTATTTGTGTACACGAACAATTGGGCGACAGATGATGCCTTCTTCTTAATTAACGAAATGTCTGTGTACACATGCAACTAGGGAGTGTACAAAAAGTGTGTAAAAAGTGTGCACAAAAATTTTTACACGATGCACATAGTTGTACGTAATTCTTTGCGCACACAGACAAATAAGACCCCCTCTTTGTCTGTCT